CCCCCCCACTAACATTGTAAAGTTCATTTTCAACATAGTGTCCTGTATATCTCATCATCACAGTGGGTCAACCTGCATCTTTAAGCATTCCGCTATACCCCTTCCCCTCCCCAAATTACAAAAATGTATATACAAGATGCAGAACACCAGAATCAAATACAGTGAAAACAGGGGTTATACTGTGGGGGAAGAACTTACCCTGATACAGGGACATAAGGTTTTTTTCCCCTTTCTTTTCTATTGTTTTTAATGTACTTACATATTTTTATTTGATTATAATTTCCAATGTCTCAATTATTGTACAATATAGAGTGCACATTTAAAATAATAAATATGCATCTCCCTTTGTGAGCTTGCTCTGTGCTAGGTACTGTGATTGTACTTCTGTAAATACTATAATAATAATATAATATAATATAGTAATGATGTCTAATTCCTGCCAGAGGAGTTCAGAAATGGAGGAAATACCTAAACTAGTACTGGGCATGTGGTAGGAGAACATTATACTGTAGACTTTACTCCTTTTTCATTTCATGCTTACAGCACACTTGTAAGATGATTATTTTCCTTTGGGTGGATACGAAACTAAGCTTTGGGGTGTGAAGAGTGGGCTCCAACCACCTAGCCACAGAGGCAAAAGCAGGAATTCAAATGGTCTCTGGTTTCTATGTTTTTGCCCCAAATGTCCATCTTTGAAGCATCCCTTGTGTGGCATCTGTCACCTGGGCAAAGGTTGGCACTGGTTTCTGTGCGTGTCTCTCCATCTCCCCATCCTCTCCTAGACAAACTTGGTGGTCCTCAGTCTCTGACCCAATGATCCTAGGTTGGGGGTGGAGGGCAAACTTAGGAGTGGCCACGAGTTGATGTTAGCTCTCTGTACTGGGGGTTTGGGGAGGGACGGAGGTGGAGGGCTGGAGGAGCACAGGAGGTAGGCAGCTGCTGAGGGAAGGACAGGGACATGGGTCACTCATGGGTTTACCCAGTGGGAGGCTTTAAAGCTCGCCCAAACCACTGCCTAGAAGAACCAATCACTGCCTTCTTGCTTTTGGCTAAGATGGCTTTTTATGCATCTCAGTACAGGCGCTGGATAGAAAGCCCAGTGCTTTCCCTGCTCCCAAACCAAAGCCTAGCAGTATTGGCTCCCCTCTCCCTCCCCCTCACACATATTCTCTCTCTCTCTCTCTCTCTCTCTGTCTCTGTCTCTGTCTCTCTGTCTCTCTCTCTCTCTCTCTCTCTCACACACACACACACACCTCCCCCACCTAGTACTAGTGCTGTGCTTCTGAGCCATGGGCAGCTGGTTTAGACGCCTCAGGGAGCACCATGGAAGGGGGTCAGTGCTTCCAGAACTAATCTGATTGCTTGGGGAAACTGGAGCTTGTGTTAAGTCTCCCAGGAAGGCTCCTTTCCGAGTGGTTGGGACGGGCAGAGGTCCCTATCCAGCCATCTGTCCTATAGGATTTCCTCAGCTGAAAGCCACAGAGCCCTCTGGACCCCCCTGGTTCCCTCTGCAAAGGAATCGATGCGTTTGGCAACTGGTTATAGTGCTAGAAGCTGGGCACACAGGGGGAGTTTTCCTATGGGCATCCTGTCAAAAAACCAAATGGACGCAGTTCCATCTATGCATTTTGACATAGAGATAATTCTGCACTGATTGCCAGGTGTTTTCTAGTGGTGTCTAGGACATTACTATGGGAGCCGTGATGACACTGGTGGATGGAGTTGTCAAAAGTCGGAAACAGCCAGGTGTGGTGAGAGATGCTTGTAATTCCAGCACTGAGAAAGTTTCGGGCAAGTGAAAATTCAGATCAGTCCTGGCGGCCTCAGAGCAAGACTAAAGTCTTAAATAAACAAGAAAAACCTCAGAAACTCTTTGCAGTAAATCTGGGTACAATGTAACGTGTGTAAATCATATCTCAACTGGAAAAAAAAAAGTGCAAACATAGCTCTGCAGGCTTATGAAAAGTTACTAAGTAGCACGTGGAGACAAGCAACTCTAATAGCAGCGCCCACCGAGGTATCTGTAGCCAGGAGGAATAATTCCACCGGCTAGTTATCTGTTTCCCCAGCCAGGAAAGGGAGTTCAATAATAGGCCCCTCCCATCACATGGGGGCGGAGCCAGTCTTAAGAAAAGTCAGGGGCAAGGCTGCAGCGGCGGCCAGTGTCAGAAGCTTTGCCATGAGTTACTACAACAGCTCTGAGCTCCTGGTCCCAGGCAGCGCTGGCCAGCTGGTCCTGCAGCCCCTCTGGGACCGACTGAAGACCTGGGAGGCGCTCACCGGATCGCCCTTTTTCCCGGTCTTCTTTTCGATCATCACCTACCTGGGCTTCTGCCTGCCTTTCGTGGTGCTGGACGTCCTGTGTCCCTGGGTGCCTGCGCTGAGACGCTACAAAATCCACCCGGACTTTTCTCCCTCGGCGCTGCAGCTGCTCCCCTGCCTGGGACAGACGCTCTACCAGCACGTGGTGTTCGTGTTCCCCGCCACCCTGCTGCACTGGGCGCAGAGCCCCGCGCTGCTGCCGGCCAAAGCCCCAGAGCTGCTGCAGATGCTGCGCCACATCGTCTTCTGCCTGCTGCTCTTCGACACCGAGTTCTTCGTGTGGCACGTGTTGCACCACAGAGTGCCCTGGCTCTACCGCACCTTCCACAAAGTGCATCACCAGAACGCATCCTCCTTCGCGCTGGCCACGCAGTACATGAGCGTCTGGGAGCTGTTTTCCTTGGGTTTCTTTGACATGCTCAACACCAGGCTGCTTGACTGCCACCCGCTCACCATCCTCATCTTCCACGTGGTCAACATCTGGCTGTCGGTGGAGGACCACTCAGGTTATGACTTCCCGTGGTCCACCCATCGACTGGTGCCTTTTGGGTGGTACGGAGGCGTGGCGCATCACGATCTCCATCACTCTCACTTTAACTGCAACTACGCCCCTTACTTCACACACTGGGACAAATTACTGGGTACTCTGAAGCGGGCCCCTCTCCCTGCATGGCTGAGTGGCTGTGGGGGGAGCCCCTCAGACTCCGGACCGCTGTGCAGTTCACACTTGAGTCAGGAGAAACATACCTGAGCTGGGTGTTTGTTTGTTTGTTTTAAAGCAAATAACTTATTAACTGATGAAGCTGTTCTAGATGAAATGTATTTTTGCAATCTGACAAAGTAATTTATAGAATGTATTTTATTATGATTGTATCTTTGGTGTCAAAATCTAGCTCACCTCAAAGCCTTGACTCTTGGACATAATTAGACATTCATCACTGGCCCATGTGAATCATCTGTAAAAGGATTTGTTTGTAGAACAAGGGTTTTCTATGTCTGAAAATGGCCATAAATGGTGATACATGGACATCTTTTGTGGAGGATCTAACTTTTAACTCTAAAAATCCAGATATGTTCCTGCTGGACAGTGATCAAGATTATTATATTGTTTTCTATTTTTTTAATAGAGATGCATATTTATATTGTAAGAAATACCATTTGTGCTGTTAAAATGAGGAAAAATGAAAGAAATCATGCATCAAACAAGTGTTGGTTTCTGTTTCACTGGAATTTTAGTATAGGAAAACTATAAACAGCCTGGTGCTGGTGGCGCACACCTGTAATCCTAGGTGCTCAAGAGACTGAGATCTGAGGATAGCAGTTCAAACCAGGCCAGAGCAGGAAAATCTGTGAGGCTCTTATCTCCAATTAACCACCAGAAAATCGGAAACAGGGCTGTGGTTGAAAGTGGTAGAATGCTAGACTTGAGTGAAAGATCTCAGGTACAGCACCCAGGCACTGAGTTCAAGCCTCATGACCAACAAAAATAAAATAAAATAAAAAAGAAGAAGAAAGAAAACTAAAAACAGAGGAGGGAGTTGGGATTATGTTTTTCAGACCCTCTGGGGGAGGGGTGGAAAGGAGAATCTGGTGACCAGTGTCTTGTTGGAGGAGGAGTGTAAGAAAAAAGGAGGGAGGAGAAAGTGAACATTTGTTTTGATTTAGAGGTTTCACAGAACCAAACACATGATCATTCTGATGAAAGCTTTTTGGCTGATTTCTGAATAACAGGCAAATGATGGAATTGCTCTGTAAAACTTTACAGAGAGATTAACATTTATTAGATGATGATGAGTAGGATATGTAGGGTGGAGGGCATAGAAGTAGGAAAGTGCCTCAGTTTGGAAAACCCATAAAGCAAATATGTTCATTAAAGCAACTGATCAGTTCAAATAGGGATTTCAATAAAGCACCATTTTCAGAAAGCCATCTTTAGTTAACATAGTCTGGAAATGCGGTGTAATTCAATTTCTTAAATAAGACCCACAACAGATGTCATGACCCTTTCTCAAAGGCAGATAAAGTGAAAGTTGGCCCTGGATCCCTGGTTCCTCATCTGTAAAGGAGATGGTGTTCCAGATGTTCTAAGAGATGACTGGTGACCATCACAGTCTTTATGACGAGTCATGTACAGGTCACCCAACATTCCTTCCGACAGTTTGTTGTTTACCTTAGGGTCAAGATAAAAATGAAGGTGTGTTAGACAGAGATCTGTAAAGAACAGACTTGCACACAAATCTAGTACCACTATATATGTACTAAGTTATTTTTGCTTTCTGAAAGGTAAAAAGAATGCATCCAAAGATCTAGTCTTCATGTTATGTCAAATCAGACTCCTGAGAACTATCTTTAGACCTTCAAAGTGAGTGGAAAAAGAGGAAAAGGATAAGCAGGCAGCTACTGGGTACAAGACACAACTTTTAGTTATGGTGAGCAGAACCAAGTACCCCTAGCTGCCCTGTGAATCTTTAGATGATGAAAACATGCCTTAGACCACTTGCAGAGTTCTGTAAAAATGTCTCACATTGCCTTTCCACATAAGGAAATGGTAGATGAAGCAAATTGGTCACATGGAAAATATTATGATTTAGAAACACTTCTTCAAAATCAGATGTGAGTTGGTAATGCCTGGGAGGTTGATACTGGTGGCAGGGGACAGGGGAGGGGGAGAAGCACTTTTTATTAAACACAGTCTGAGAGCCTAAAGTTCAGTAGTTTATAGTGCATGAACTAAACACAGTATTTCATTTGCTCTCAAAAGTAACACATGAAGAAATGTAGGACAGTTATTGTTAATTTCTTCAGCAGCATCATTCTATGTTATGGATGGAGGACAGGTCAACACATACACAGGTTAATGTGTCTTTTTCTGAGTATTAACATATTAGGAGTTGAAGCAAGTTATCCAAACTTAAGTTTCACAGCATTCCACCCTCCCTCGCCCACACCCCCCCATTGTCCCATAATAGTGCGCAACTTAAAGTCAGAGCTTTTTCACACTAGGCTATTTGAGTGCCATTTGAGCCACATCCCAATTTCTGGCATTTTGATGGTTAATTGGATACAAGTCTCATGGAATGGACTTCCTTATCCTGGCTGACTTTGAACTGCAATCTGCATATCTCAGCCTCTTGAGTAGCCAGGATTATAGGTGTAAGTCACTGATGCCTAGCATTTCTATGTCTCTCTTTTGATGGTTATGGTAGTTTGTTGTTTTTTTTTTTTTTAACAACATCTAGAAAGATGCAAACCATGCTGAGCCAACAGCTGGCCTCTTGGCTTTTCCTCTGCCCGTTACTGCTAACACTCAGCCTTCCCTTGATCCATTATTTGATGTTGACAGCTCTGGAGCCAAGGTGTCTGTCTAGGCACAGGGTTCTAGCCAGGAAATACGGGTCTAAGGAGAACCCTGAAAAGCAGAAGGCATGTCAAAGACAGCGTTTTCTGCAACCCTTATTGCCTGTGGATTGAGGAAATGCTGAAGCTGTAGTAACTATCTAGGAGCTGGATTTGGGGCCTTACTGGCTGGCTTGAATGATTTGGGACAAGCTACTAAACTCCTCATCTGTAAAACATGGATTCTCAAGAGATCTCTCATAGAATTGTAACTTTCTGTCCCCAGCACACGTGAGCTCACCCATCTTCTGAGTGACCAAGTAGAGTCCAGATTTTTATCCTGGCTCCATCACAAAACGCTTGTCTAGTTATCCTTTCAAGACAAACATTTTGGAAACAGACAGAAATGTGTTTGTCTTACTCTACTTCCTCACTTCTGAATCATTCCACCCCCACCTCTTCCTGAAACTTACTGTAACTCACCACTATCTTCCTGATTAACAGACCTAGCCATATTATCCCTTTGGTTTTCCATCTTCTTGGCTCTTTGGTTTTGTTTTGCCACCAAACCTCATCTTAGGACATGGTTCTTGTTTGGGCTTTAAGTGAGATTTCTCTAAATTCTTTTCCTTCCTAATTCTACAGCTGTTTCTTTTCTATTTAATAGCTTATCTTTCATCACAACAAGGCTGCAAGGCTCTTTTTCTGTTGTTGTTGCTGAGAAAAAGATCTGCTTTTTATGTAATGAGTGTCCTTCCTACCATCTCTCGGTGTACTCTGTAAACAGCCAATTATATTGCATTATTGCATACACACAATGTGTACACACATGCATATGTGATATATCATGTATATACTATATATGAATTATGGAATAGTATACATTTACTTGCACTTTATGCATACCATATAGATGTTCAGATATTCTTTTTTTTTGGGGGTCCGGTAGTGGGGCCTGAACTCTGGGCCTGGGCCCTGTCCCTCAGCTCTTCAGCTCAAGGCTAGTGCTCTACCACTTGAGCCACAGCGCTACCTCTGGCTTTTTTTCTTTCTTTTTTTTTTTTTTTTGCTTATGTGGTGCTGAGGAATCGAACCCAGGGCCTCAGGCATGCAAGGCAAGCACTCTACCACTGAGCCATCTTCTCAGCCCCTCAGATATTCTTATATGTGTGTACATTGCATGCATTCAATACTAGATATGTTCAATATACATTACATATGTGCACATGCATGACTCTATCCAGATATTTATATTTATCTAGAGTGATTTATCTAGAATGTCCTTCTTCTCTTTTCTTTTCTTTTCTTCTCTTCTCTTCTCTTCCTTTCCCTTCACTCCTCCCCTCTCCTTCCCTCCTCTCTCCTCTCCTCCTTTCCTTTCTCCTTTCCTCTGCTGTCCTCCCCTCCATTCTCCTCCTCTCCTCTCCCCCCTCCTCTCCTCTCCTCCCCTCTCCTCCCTTCCCCTCCCTTTTCCTCCCCTCCGCTCCCCTTCTCTCTTCTCTTTTTTTCTTTCTTCTTCCTTTCTCTCTCCTCCTTCCTCTCCCTTTCCAGCCATTAGTCATGTCTTTCATCATGCATACCCCCTTTATTCTTCTTACTTCCCCATCAGAGCTTCTTACTTAGGTCACATTCTTAACTCATAATCTCTGTTCTAGAGAAAGTCTTCTGAGAAAGCTAAGCAAATGCATTTGACCCATTGTGATCAGTACTGTAAGGGGGGTGTTATTTATAGTTATTATAGTTAGTTATAGTTTTTTGTTATTTATTTATAATTTATTTATAGTTATTTATAGTTTTTTTTTACAAGAGCCCAAAGACAAGTATACCTTTGGAAATAAATGGAGGATTTGTATGAGTTCATCAGTTCAGGTAACGTGCCTATATAGAAGAAGAACAATCTGTTGTAAAGAAAGATGAAAGAATTTGACATTCTTAAAACCTGAGAAGAGCATTTAATGGGCCAGAAAGAACTTCAAGTCATGTCTCCCAAAAGGACATTAGGCCTTGATATGGGTCCCAACAGTATGTTTATGCAACTGTTTGTCTTGTTCTTGTTGTCAAGCCTTTGAAACTGCTTAAAACTGGTTATCTATGTCACAGGGAGTGTGAAAGACTGTATATAAAAAGGTTTTAAGCAGATGTTACAGTTAACTGTATTTTGTTGAAGTACAATGGGTAGATGGATAAATACATTGCAAACTGGACTTAGGCCATGGAGGTGGTGGGCAAGATGTTCCACAGATTTTTTTTTTGTCAGTCCTGCAGGTTGAACTCAGGGCCTGGGCACTGTCCCCAAGATTCCTTTTTGTGCAAGGCTAGAACTCTACCACTTGAGCCACAGCAGCACTTTTTTTCTGTTTATGTGGTACTGAGGAATCGAACCTAGGGCTTCATGCATGCTAGACAAGCACTCTGCTACTAAGTCACATTCCCAGTCCTGTTTCACAGATTTTTAAGCAAAGAATTGATTTCAAAGTTTCTGTCTGAGATGACAATTGGGAACAGAATAACTGCAGTAACTCTCCTTAGGAGGCCTTAGCAGGTTCTGCTTGGGTTCTGCATGGTGTCATTATTAGTTAACTTTGTTGTCTTCAGGAAATTACTTAATCTTTCCATCACTGTGTTTTCTCATCTATAAATAGAAGGTGATAGTATGTATCTTTAGAAGTGTACTGAGAACTAAGAAAGGAAATTTAGAAAAGTAGGCACACTTCTTTTTTGTTACAAATTTTGTTACAAACTGCTATTACATATGAGACATAACAGACTTGTTCCAAAGCCAGTATAGGTAGGATTTTTAGAAGAGGATGGATTTCTTTTCTATTTTGATATAAGTAACATGTTCAAGGTATGCTTTCAAATGGTGAACAC